CAAGACCTCATCAAACACGACATCATCAGACTCCTTAAGATCAACACACTTCACAACAGCGCAGATTTGTTTATTAAATATATTAGCAAGGAAACACTACACACTAGCACTATGAACGACCAGCACAACTGTTTCACAACAACGACTTCGAACATGTTTGTATGTAAGTAGCTACATGTAACACGTCACGACACTTTTGGTATGTAAGTAACAGGAACTACATGTAAGTTCACTGCACTTTTGGCGGCTTGAGTCAACACTACAGTTGTTTGTGTTACATGTCTGCATGCGCCGCTTGCCTAATTGCCACTACATAGGCTCATACATTTTGCCCGTCTCACTTCGTTTTGCGCACTACAGCCATGTCCGCTGCCGATGCCACTATGGGAGACACTACTCCCAATCAGGCTTTGACTCCTCGGGCAGAGGAGACTATGGACTCCAGTGACCGTGGGTCACTACCACTGCCTCACTACGACGAGACCAACTACCACTTCAACCACACTACACCCAACACCACACCTTACTACCAGCCATCAGCAATCATGGAACAACTACACACCACCCAGTACCAGACAACGCAGACACCACTACTCCACAACAACACACACTACGTGCAACCCTTCACCGCTTTCACACTTGAGGAGTACAAACTCCTCTCACTACAACAATCCACACCACTGGGACAACTCGATTTTACACGACCACTACAGTGCATCCCGGGTGACCTCAGGATGCCCCACTACGACTCGGCACTACTCAGCATCTCGCTTGCTGAGGCCTGTAACGTACACTACTACCATACAACTTCACTGCACACCACCACCAACCACAACGACAGCTACATCGTTGTCAGACTACATGTTGAACAAGACTACTTTTGAGGTACTTGACCTCTGGACAATTCATCCACTTCACCCGCGACTACATCTCCTACATGCTGTCCATCAGGACCGAGAACTACCTTCCAACTTCACAACATTCACAACTAATTTACAAGGTGGACTATGACATGGGCAGATTCACTGACATCTACAGTTTGAAGAACAACTACATCTGGAACTACCACATGCCTTTGTTTCTACCTGACCTACTTCACTACCTCAACAACCACGAGCAACTGCAGGACTTTCAACACAAAGCAATCACTACAATGCTTGGCAAAAGCATCCACTACTATGGATTCACACTACTCACAATGACAAACCTCACTGCACAACAACGACTGCAACTACACCACTTCCTCCGCAACTACCAACACCAGGTTGCACCACCAGAGGTTGACGACAACCGACTACGTGGTGCACCAGACTTCACTGAGCACTTCGTGATCAACTACTACGCCTCCTTGGAACTTCGAGAGGAGCAGGTACGCAACTACCGGCTCCAGCATTGGGGACTACATGTCTGAGCTACGGGCTTGGCTACGACTACAGGTACTTCCTCACCAACTCCGCTGAGCTACTGAGGATCCTACCTCTTTTCTTTTTCACTACAGTAGCATAGATGAACAACAAGAGTTTTCATCACTACTGGCAATCCTTTGTTTTTTTCACTCCAGTTAGAAGGACACTACAGAGAGATCTGGTTGTTCTGACTGACCATCTTCAGTTGGGCTGTTGGTTGCCTTGCAAAAAGCTTCTTGCACCAAATCAAATGGTGTGAATTTGAATAGGGTGGTTTCTGGTGGTGGGGATCCATGTCCACCAACCACTTTGTAGTTCCCTATTTCATTGAAATTCATGGTCCCCTTTCGTAAACTTGCCACTGAAATGGTCATACCCCAACAAGTGTTTAAAGTCCAGAAGCTGGGGAAGTGAGATCAAGAAGAAACCAAAACGAGACCGCGCCTGCTTCGCAAGACTAAAAACGCCACCACGCAGGCCAAGATCATGCAGGTGTTGGTCATCAACTGGGAGCGCCCAAGATAGAACACTGACGTGCGGACTTTTTCGGAATCCGGAGGACCGTGTAAATCATCAGGGGGGCTTCCCCTTTTAGTATGCACGCACCCCATATGGAACACCAATCCATGTCAAATTGCTGAGACATGTGTCAGAGACATTCTCCTGTGTGCCTTCAGTCATAGACAGTTCATCACTGGCATGATGCAGAAGAGCTCTGACAGTTGACACATCTTGTTTGGCGATGAGAAGTTGTTGCCCCCAACCCCTCCCCGACGCTGAAAAAACCTTGGAACATGGCCTCGGGATTCCCTTCATCTTTTCGCGCAAGACACACAATGTCAGATATAGAAGGCTGTATTCAAGGCCAGTGTCTGATGAAGGCATACAAAATGCACCAAACTGTGGGCAGTGTCAGGCAAGCGAAGCTATGCTGTGTTCGTGGAGTCGTGCATGAATCGACCTTAGAAGCAACAGCAAACACAACAAGATAACACGGCGCCGAATAGAGTAGGTAAGCCTTTTAGCACAAAAGAACCATCAATTTAGGCGGTTCCTCTGAGCGGTAAGGTGCCTCGGATTGATCCGAAGTTCAGGTCAGGAAGAAGGAGCAAGTGTTGGATCTCGCATGCCGTTTGAAATAAGGGTTGTCAGCAGTTTTCACAATTATCCCTTTAAGTTTGTGTGAGCAAGCTTCGATTGGACACCAACCAAAGGCTGTCAAAGGCTTAATTACCAGCATGCAAAGCAAAATGCTGGTCTCGTAATTCCGATTTTTTTTGTTGCTCAACAGTGCGGCACTTGGTAGAACCCTGTCCATATAGCTTGACATGCAACACTCAGCACCTCCCGTAGGAAAGATAATGGAGGACCGATTCCAGGCCAAACTGATTTTCCAAACATTGCTCTGTCTGGTAGTGATCCCCTTCAACAATACCACAACGCAAGGATGCATTTAATTTACTCAAGCCGCAGTGTCTACATGAACAACGTGCGGGGTTATTGCAAAATTGCCTCTCCTAAAAAAGTGGTTCCCTTTTTTGGTTTCCCTTTGAAATGAAACAACACCACAAAAAGCACCAACCCAGTGCTAGACTCGAATTGCTTGAACAGCGACCCCCTGTTTAGCTTGTTGAGGGCCCCAGGTTTGGAGATTCGAAAAGTTCCATGCCAGGAAACAACTCCGCAAGCAACCAAAAAATGTGTTTGTGCACAAAAACCATCAGCGTCCGCATGAATGAGACTGAGGCCTATCCAGAATCTGCAGCAAAAATGGCCTCTGGCGCTTTTGATGTGAGCCACGCTTGCGTCCTATTGGGAACAACGGCAATCGCCCGTCTTGCCTGTCGTGGGCCCCCTGCGACCCAAAAGGGTCATGACAAGTCCCACCAAAATCGACAAGCTTCTGCTGAAACAAACACTGATAAAACAACCACACCGCCCTCAAGCTGAAGGCAAGGAGTCAACCCCCCAAAGCACCGCAGTGTGCTCCTTTAATCACTACACACCCCAACCAACATGGTGCGTACCTATGTATGGTACTCCCCCCAAAAAAAACAGGAAAAAGATAACTAGCTGATTAGCCAATTGAATAGCTACGTGGCTTTTAGAGCTAATTCATTACAACTATCTAAGTGACTAATTGGCCGACTTGCTAACTGGTGTTTTAGCTATCTAGTAAAATTGAAGAGGTTTTAGTGCTTGAACTTGAAAAATATGCGTTTCACAGAGGCGCGAAAATACACATATTTCTCAAAAGTAGCCATTTGTCTAGCAATGTTGGCAATCTCCAGATTTAAGGTTTTGGAGCAGCATATGTACGTATGGCATATTCGTATATAAATACAAGTATAACTACAAGTAGACACGTGTATATACTCTCCCTGGAAAACGTTAAAAACTACGATGTTGTTGTTTTTTTCTCGGAAAAGACATACCAGGGAATGAAGGGGACATGCAAGGGCAGCGCAGGGAAAATGACGGGGACATGCAGGGGACATGAACGGGAAATAAAGGGAAATGCAAAGACATGCAGGGGACAGGAAGTGGAAAGACAGGAAAGCAAGGGGAAATGAAAGGGAAACGAAGGGAAACTGAAAGGGAAAGGAAGGGGAAAGGAATGAGAACAGGGGGAGTGAAGGGGGAATGAAAGGGAAACAAAGGACGAGGAAATCAAAGGGCGAAGGGAGATGTAGGAAGATGATTGGCAATGAAACGGACATACATGGAACATGAAGCGGACATACCGAGAAAGTGAAAGGGATATGCAGGGGGAATTGAAAGGCAAGGAAGGGGACATGAGGAGGAAATCATAGGAAACGACGGGACACGAACAGGGTATGAAGAGGGATTCAAGGGGAAAGCCAGTAGAACAAGACGAGAGACAGAGAGAGACACAAAGAGAGAGAGAGAGAGAGACAAATAGAGAGGGAGAGAGGCCGAGAGAGACAGAGAGAGACAGAGAGAGACAGACAAAGAAAGAAAGAGAGACGGACAGAGAGAGAGAGAGAGAGACTAAAAGAGAGAGAGAGAGACAGAGACAGAGAGAGAGAGTGACTGAGAGAGAGAGAGAGGGATAGACTGAGAGAGAGAGAGAAAGAGAGAGAGAGAGAGATAGACAGAGAGCGAGAGAGAGAAAGACTGAGAGAGAGAGAGAGACAAAGAAAGAGAGAGAGAGAGAGAGAGAGACAGAGAGACAGAGAGAGAGAGAGAGACAGAGACTGAGAGAGAGAGAGAGAGAGACTGAGAGAGAGAGAGAGAGAGACAGAGACTGAGAGAGAGAGAGAGAGAGAGAGAAAGAACGGGGGGAGAGAGGGCGAGGGAACAAACGGAGCAAGGAAGAAGAGAGAGAGAGAGAGAGAGAGAGAGAGCCAATGTTAAAGTACATATATATATATATATATATAGGTATATTATGATGTATACGGTGTGCTTATATTGGACCCCTTGCCCCCATTTACTAGCAGTCACGCATTCCCATCAGGCAGCGTTCGTGGGGATCACATGCCATAAATTAGCCCAGCATCCCCGGAATCCCCGCGCAAAGACCCAGAAGCTTCCAGCTGTTGAAGAAGCAGGAATTGCACGGGACCAAACCTACCCTCTCGCCAGAGGCGCTCCGGTGAGGAAGGTTGAGAGGTCACCCGCACCGTTGGTCTTTACCCCAGTGATAGCAGCCGCCTCAGAAACCGTCGGCTCGACGCACGCGAAACGGAAGACGAGAGCCTTGTAAAATACAGGATGCCACAGATAGCAGGGCCCAGTTCGACCCGTATCTCATGTCATGCTAAGAGCAGTGGTTGAAGTTGGCGAAATCACACCTTTCTAGCGCCACGGACCACGAAGAACGGCAAGGCCCGTACTGGCCCTACTTGTGAGCATCTGAGTGCCAATCCTTTTCCTGGCCATATGAGTTAGTCTTGCACTGCTTGGCCTGGACACAAGGCTGGCCTTCTACCTCAGCAACCGCATACTATGCGCCTTGCATGTTCATTTGCTGCCATGGAAGAGATTACCGCGCATTGGATGTTTGCAAAAACGGTGCTTCAAGCGTGTTTGTCAGCATATCAAGGTTGCCACTAGGCATCTATCTTGTCGAACTCAACCGAGGCCATTGGGAAGCGGAAGCAAACAGTTCGAGGGCCATCTCTTGCAAACCTCCCTGGGTTGTTCTTATATAACCCTCCCTGAGGTAGGCCAACCAATCCTCCCCCCAAAACCTCCACTGGGCCTGGCAAGCAACCAGCACCATCCGCCCACATCCCCACATTGTTTGCCAGGTCACAGACTCAGGCTTGTCTGTCAACCTAGGGCTCAGGCAAACGCTCACATGCCACAGGACTGCTCAATTGGCTTTGTTGGATCACATGCTGTCAACCAGTGTCGCTGATTTGCTGCTTGTCAGCAAAGTGGCCCACTTCGTTACCATCCACTTAGTCACAGGCCCTGGGGTCCTGGGCATGAAGTCTATTCAAACAAGCCCACAGATACTGGAGCCTTCGTGCATTCGACGCTGTCGCGCGTCACGTGCCGAACATCAGGAGGATGGCACGACTCGTTTCGCTGACATACAACGAATCACGTTTCAACTCGCCAAGCTTGGGCAGCTTCCAAAAGGTTTCTTGAAACAAAGGCAGCTCCCGGCAAGTTGCTCTCAAGCCAAATGAATCTTCAGGGGAGTCAGGCAGGATGCTTTTCCAACGTGAAGGTCCAGCTCGGGACCCCAAGCCGGGCCCCAGCTCTGTGTTTGACAGCGTCACGCAAACTTTGTCACTTGTGTCAATAGGGCACCAAATCCTTGAACGGGGAAGGTACCGCTCTGATGCCCATGGCACGGCCCGAGCAGATCAGAACTGCCTCAAGATGAATGCCTGATGACTTTGTCCCGCCCAGTACAAAAATCACAATGATGAATTCCTCGTTGGCCGAGTTTGGCTCTTTGCTCTTGTCAAGGACACACGTGATCCCCAGTGGAGAGGGTAGGGGAGGGGTGTGCGGGGCGCCAGTTCCATTTTCGAGCATCTTGCACAGGGAATATGGAGCCCAAAATAGCGGTTTTCTGTTTGATTCCCTCAAAGAAAAGAAGGGTAGCCTCAAAAGAACACACCACCCAAATTGCAAGGGGACTCCGTGAGGCCCGCCCACTCTCGTCACTGATTCGGCCGAACGGCAGCATATGTGCAGTCCTGGCAGACTCGGCAACACGGGCAAGAAGAACAGGGGACCTTTCTGGGCACATAGGAATTGTCCGCTAGCCATGACAACAGGGAAAAGGGTGCGGCAATCGCCAAACTGCAATCAAGAAAGGGAATATAGGCTTCACGGCTGTGCGCTTCCAAAGAGGGGCTCCTTGATTGTTCAATCTACTTAAAATGACTTAAAATATTTGTAGCCATGGTTAAATGTCAATCATCGATTGTTGTCCCACTTATCAGCATGGGTGTTACCTGCATATACTTGCCAAGGTTGAGCATCCAAGACCGAAGCAGATGCGGCGGCGTCCTTTGGGCTGTCGCAGTCATATTCATTACTGTCTGGAGGAAGATGACGTCCAAATCAGCCGGGCTGGACTCCTTAGCTCGAGGAAACTCTGGGACATCGCCGTTGACGACGTTGGGTCCCAGAAGGGTTCACCGAACAAGGGTCCGAGAGGAGATTCCTTTGAGGCGAGTAGCTTGAATTTATTGAACGCTTTGTAGAGAGCTTTGGTATTAAGATGATCATGGCCCACACATCTCGAATCTTTGTTGCATGTGTGTGTGTGTGTGTGTGTGTGTGTGTGTGTGTGTTCGTGCGTGTGTGTGTTCGTGCGTGCGTGCGTGCGTGCGTGCGTGCGTGCGTGCGTGCGTGCGTGCGTGCGTGCGTGCGTGCGTGCGTGCGTGCGTGCGTGCGTGCGTGCGTGCGTGCGTGCGTGCGTGCGTGCGTGCGTGCGTGCGTGCGTGCGTGCGTGCGTGCGTGCGTGCGTGCGTGCGTGCGTGCGTGCGTGCGTGCGTGCGTGCGTGCGTGCGTGCGTGCGTGCGTGCGTGCGTGCGTGCGTGCGTGCGTGCGTGCGTGCGTGCGTGCGTGCGTGCGTGCTGCGTGCGTGCGTGCGTGCGTGCGTGCGTGCGTGCGTGCGTGCGTGCGTGCGTGCGTGCGTGCGTGCGTGCGTGCGTGCGTGCGTGGGTGGGTGGGTGGGTGGGTGGGTGGGTGGGTGGGTGGGTGCGTGCTGCGTGCGTGCGTGCGTGCGTGCGTGCGTGCGTGCGTGCGTGCGTGCGTGCGTGCGTTGCGTTGCGTTGCGTGCGT